AATAATGGAAAGCAATATTTCATTTATTTGTTCCAACAAGCCATAAAAAATCGAGATCGTGTCAACTCCAAATTTTTGCCCAGCATAAGTCATGGTACCCCTGGTCAGAGCTGATATTACACATCATTTATGGGATAAAATTGTTTAGTAAAATAGTTGACAACTATTTAGAGTTTTGTCAAATTCTCTTTTAAAACAATAACGGTACTTTCCACATTTCCAAAAGCATTTGCTTAGTAAAATTACTTATATTATTAAAAACGATCCATTTACCAGCGATCCTAAAATCGCTGCAGACTTAAAAGAATCATTTGGGATTTTTGTTTTTGCAAAATAGTCAGGCTGTATCCCAGTTTATTGTTCTTATAAAAAACTGAAGCGGATCAACTCTATTCAAATTTTAATTACTATAGTATAAAGACATACGTTTTATTGATCATTTAAATACTAAAATGCAAAATGTTTTAAATATTTGAAATTAACGGTTAACTATGTAAATATTTTGTAAATAGTACCAAAACCTACATCACTGATATTAATACCTTATCATACAACCAATACTAGACGAGGATCTTGCTTCTCATAAGTAGTACCTAAACTTAATTTAATTTCAATAAAATCGCTACACTCCGAGTACTGGGCCACCCGCCTCTAATTCGTTTAAGCGAACACTGAAGGCTTAAGACCATTACCCACGCTTGCCCAAGTTGATGGACTATATCATAAGCTGGAAGTAGTTCCTAAACGAGGAGTAGCCAACATTTGTTTCAATCTTGTTGTTTTGAGTTTCTTCAAAACAACTATTTATTAGTGGGGAATGTATGGCATTGTTTGCCGAGGGGTAAGGCAGGGAAGGCTATAGTTTCGGATCACGCCACTGATCCTCATCAATTCCCTTAGTTTTTTGTTGGGATATTCTCCCCAGAAGCTATTGTTTCTATACAAAAACCTTTCATACCCAAATGTCTCTTGTAACAAAGCGAAGTACTTAGCTGGCAAATGACATAAACTTCATGAGAATTTCGCTGGTGCCTCACTTCAAGGTTAACAAGGCATTTACAAACAATATTTTGCAAAAACTAAATACAAATGGTATCCAATAAACCAACAAAACAATGATCCAAAAAACACACTGCTATTGACGTTAAGAATTGGATCGTATACAATACACCACACATGCTGATAACACCTCCACAAAGCCTCGATTTAAATCCGATTGAGCACCTATGGGATCATCTAGATAAACGAATCCGAAATCATACAATTTCCAGTAAGGCCCAACTCAAAGAAATACTTCTGACAGAATGGGGTAAAATATCGGACTACACTAAGAAACTTGTTTACTCAATGGCCGAACGATTGAATAAAGTTTTAAAACTCAAGGGATATCCTATCAAATATTAGGTAAGTCAATTTAATTGTAAAAATTATGTAATATTACATAAAATATTCTACTTCGGATTTAGGTGAATTATTTTCACTAGATCCAATATAATTATATGCTATCATTTATATCTGAATAAAACTTAAGACATCATATTATAATCTCGATGTTGATAGTCTGGGCTAAAATTCGCGCAAATCGTCCAAAAGTAGAGTCTATGGTGAACCATTTACACCAAATCAGATTCACCATTATCTATTCATGTCGTTTTTCTATGCGAAATTTGCTGTTGATTTAAGTCATTTTACAAAAAGTAACGACTCTGGTTTTTTTTTGTCGAGCTATGTCAATTTGTTGAGTTTATTTTTCGGGTTAATGGGTATCGCCCAATTGTGCCAACTGAATGGGAATGACAAATTGGAACTTGACACCAATAAATAAATGGCAATGTTACAACGACCCGATTACATTCGTAAATAATAAATACATACACACAAACACATATGCATGCATGTATACGCACAAAGTCCAATGTGAAAATTGTTAACGTTTTAAAGAAAATGAAAGGTTGACTGCAGGTTCACCACCGCCACCAGCACCGGCATCAGCCATTGCACTACGATCGCAGTTGCAGAGTCCCAGTAGCATAATGGGAATTGTAAAAATTTCAATGAATTAACAGATTTGTCATTCACACACACTTCATTTTGAAGACATGTTCAGAGATGGTTATTTTTAATGTCTCAGAACACTTGACATAATTTTAAAAGGGGTCCATTCACATTTGTACGACAATATTTAAGAATTTATGACGGAATAAAATTATATGCTCGAGATTTGAATTACCAAAAGAAAGATAATCATGAAAGCAAACATATATAAAATAAAAGCAAAAATGTCGTGAAGTTCGGCCGGACAGAATTTTTTATACCCTTCACCATGTGGTGTTCATTATTAATTTTTGTAATCGCCAAGGGTAGGTAGTTTATGCTATGAGAAAAACAATGACGTACCGAAAATTAATCAAGACCATTGCATGAGGGGTATGCCTAATTACAAACACTTCGGTTGGAAAATTCGGCTAAAACCTTCACAATGTTGAAAATTGGATGGTAAGGGTCTATATGAAAATATGGACCCATTTTGATTTTTTTGCAATGATATTTAAGTTAGAGGTGTGAAATTTTGTACCTACATTTCTGCTTCTCCTTGGATGTTTGTTATTGCAAAGAATCCACGTTTTGGTATAGTCTCTGAAAACCCGTAATGTTCCATTTTCGACATTTTGAAGGTTTTGGTAGCATTTTGGAACCTAAGGGATTTTTGGATGATGAGAAACGTTTTAGGAGCAAATTTATATTAATAAAAGAGTAAACTGATTGACTGACTCATCGATTCATCATCACCCACACGAAGCACCTGAAGTTAGAATGTTGAATTTTGTTGTGAGGGTCACCCATAGTCCGAAGGTGTCAAATAAGTCTCTTCAATTTGGATGGAGTGTAGGATAGATATACCTTTGGTTTTTAGAAATTCGAACTAATAGTAACCGAAAAGTACAAACATGTACTAAATTTGTTCCAATTTCCTACAATGTGAACGGATAGAGCTGAAAACTTGAAAATTTGGAATGCGAACCAATGTTGAGTAGTATGTTTGATGTACGGAGGTGGGTTTGAAAGTGTGAACACTTCTATACGAAAAGTACTAAACAATACTAAATTTGGTACAATTTGAATTTTGAAGAACGGATGCAGCTGTAATCCTGAAATTTGAAATAACCGGAGTTTAGGATTGGGATATGTTGTCAGATTTGGAAATTCTTACTTATGTGTACAAAGTATACTAAATGGTACTATATTCGGTACAACTTGGAACCGATAGAGTTGGAACACTGATGTACGTTTGAAAAATTGTTCGTTTGGGTACTAAATGGTACTAAATTTAGATTTGCGTAAAGCGATAGAGCTGTAATCCTGAAATCTGGAATAAATATTAATGTCGGAGTTTAGGATTGGGGTATGTAATAGTACGTTTACATTTAACCGGATTTCGTTAACCCAGTGGGTTTTAATTGTCAATTCATACATATTTGTCAAATAAATCCTCATAAAGAAGGTTAACCATGTAAAAAAGTTCTAGTGTACATGTCGTTTTAGAAGTTATGTAAATTCTAACTCATGCGCACTAAATAATACTAAATTTGGTACAATTTGAATTTGGGTGAAACAATCGGGCTGGAATCCTTAAAGTGGGTTGTAGGATTGGGGTTTAGATGTAGGTTTGGAAAATTGTAAGTATCGGCACTAAATTTGGAGTAGGGTGAACCGATAGATTTGCAATCCTGAAATTTGGAATTAAGATTACTGTTGGAGTGTAGGATTGGGGTATGTAAGAAGTTTTAATAATTCGTACTAAATTTGAATGTTGGTTGAATAGAACTGGAATCGTGAAATTTTGAGTTAGAATCACTGTTGACGTGTAGGATTGGGGTATGTAGGAAGTTTTTGAAATCCTGAAATTTGCAATTAAGATTGCTGTTGGAGTGTAGATTTGGGGTATGTAGGAGGTTTTGATAATTCGTACTTATGTGTAACAAATTGTACTACATTTGATTTCATTTGAATGTTGGTTGGATAGAGCTGGAATCCAGAAATTTGGATTAAGATAGCTGTTGGGGTGTAGATTTGGGGTATGTAGGAAGTTTTGAATTTCGTATTTGTGTGTACAAAATGGTACTGAATTTGGATTGGATACTATAACTGAGAAATATAATTTCTATTGAATTGTTGAGGTACAAAGTTTTGGAACTTATATTAATTGGTACTAAAAGGTACATCAGTTAGTAAAATTTGGATTTGGGTGAACCTATAGAGCTTGAATCATGAAACTTGAAATCAATTTCGGAAATAAGTACTACAAGAGTACAAAAGGTAATACATTTAGTATTGAGCTAGATTTGAAGTGTGGTAGATATGGAGGTATTTTTGAAAGAGAATTAAGCTACTAAATGGTACCAACATTTTAATTATATTTAGACATGTTTAAATAATTCCCACAATCGCTAACGAGGTAGCGGGCATATGCTAGTTTTTCGATAAAGGTGCATATTTTGACATAGTCTCCATATTATGGCCCTACTCCATTTTTGGAATTGCATTTTTCCAACCGAAGAGGCAAAAATTTAGCATTCCGGGTTCTGCAATTTCAATAACAAACTTCTTTGCAGAAAATTGGCAATATAGGTCATTCATAAAAAAGTCTGGGTTCCTAGCTCAATTTTCCCAACTATTGCGTGTCATTTGTTATGCCATTTTCTCGGTTCACATGACAAAGCTTCCATATGGATGTCCATATGGAACATCGATCATATGGTCGATCTTATCGATATTCATAGCTGTTTATTTTCAGAATATAACCTACCCTGTAATATGTTCCCAAACTTTACGCGTTTACGACTTCAAAGCCCATCCCTGATTCTTACAAACCTATACAAGTATATATATATATATATATATATATAAATGTTTACTATGTTCATCGAAAACCGCTCATACCTGTATGCCTGCGATGTAGTGGAGTATATGAAAGGATATCATCAACCGTTACGCTGTGAATGTCACCAACACAAATATCCGTTGAAATTTCATATGGTTTTCGGGGAAAAACAGATGAAGTGCAACCTGAATGTATGCGGCAGGCCGTTGCAAGGTAAGAAAACGCTGTGCGAAGAGAAATACACATTAATTGTAAAATCAAGTGGTTATTGCATTTAATATGTAATTAAATACAGTCAGTCAGTCAGTCAGTTGTTTTGTATAAGAGCTTGTGTGTCAACTGAAATAGAAATAAGAAATTTAAAAATAAATGGAAAATAGTATTGAAAAGATTTTTTTGGTTACAAAATGTATTTTAATTGTTAGGGGGTTCCACTGTATACACACGATATCGCAACGTTCAAAAATTAATACGAATTGCAACGAAATTGGAAATGTAAGTGGTCATTATGTTCGAGTCAATGAATCGTTCTTTATTCTACCAGAGATTTGGAAACGAATAAGAAATTAATGAATGTTAAATTCAATCATGGAACGTTTTTTTTCTTAAAACTTGTGGTCATGCTCTGGAGGGTGGAAGAAAAACTATGAAAGCCCAAGGAGAACAAATTCGCCATATTCTAAAGTTCGGAGGGAGTACTTACTTAGTTAGCTAGCTAGATACAGGATATTTGTTCCATATGCCGAGCTTAAAAAAGATTTCAAGGCGCGTCGGTCTTGTGGGCATTTCTTTTTTATACCCTCCTTAGTATGGAGGGTATATTAATTTTGTCATTCCGTTTGTAACACATCGAAATATTCACTTCCGACCCTATAAAGTATATATATTCTTGATCAGGATAAAATTCTAAGACGATCTGCCGTCTGTCCGTCCGTCCGTCCGTCTGTGAAGGAATTGAGATAGGGTGCTGAAATTTTGCATAGGGTTGTCTTTAGTCTGCAGGCAGGTCAAGTTCGAAGATGGGATATATCGGTCCACGTTTAGGCACAGCACCCACCAATTTTTGGTATTTTGGGTTTCTTGAGCGCGTTTTTCAACCGAATTCGCTGAAATTTGCTACATTGGGTTCTTATTGGGTCCTAAATGTCTCCACAAATAAATATAGGTCCACTTTTTCTGGTAGCCCCCTTATAACGGTACCTACTAATTTTCAGTATTTTAGGGGTTTTGTATATGCGTATATGCGTTTTTCAACCGAATTTGTTGCTAATTGGTATTTTGTAGTCGTATATGGTAACAAATCTCTCTACCAAAAATTATTAATATTCGCCCCCTTTTTGGGGTAGTCCCCATATAACCCCCTTTTTTATATAAAAATAGTTATCTGATTTGTTCCGCGTTTTGAGTTTGGTTCTAAGACCCTATTGTAATCATTTCACCTGCGGAGGATAGCGAGATAAAAAATTAGAACGTATGGTTCGATAATGAACTATAGCCGCATTTAGACCTAGGTTTCAGAAGGAGTGGACCGATATTCCCCATCTTCGAATTTGAATTATCAATTAAAAATTTCTGAAATTTGTATTATGGTTTACATAATCCGTTTTTAGACATGTCGGTATAGGTCCACTTTTTGGTATGTTCCCTTTATTTTCATTTCTTGTACCTGTTAGTATGTCTATGGTGGAGGGTATCCAAAGTTCGGCCCCGCGGAACTTAACGCTTTTCCACTTGTTTTTCAATTAAAGACTGGTTCACCTGTATATGCCTTTCGAGCTGGGACGTCCCTATCCATTCGCACAACATGGCCTAGCCACCGTAGTCGCTACAGCTCGATACGTCTGACTATGTCGATACCGTGTATATTTTTCTATCATACACTACAAGAGATGCCTCACCCGTTTGCTCAAATACACATGCTTCAGATCTTACAGAGAGAGTGTGAGTTTGGTCTGACGAGAGGTGGCCTTGTTCTTGAATTGCTTACTCAGACCATAGAAGCATCTTCTCCGAAATTCAAAGCTGATTTTATTATTTTTGTTTATGGCGGTAAGTTCATATCTCTTTAAAATACTTGTATGTTTGTAGTATTTGCCTGAAGATTACTGCCGAAGACAGTCGAAATATTTGAAAATAAAAATAAACAAAAGGGAAAAATCATAACCAACGAGTTTTTCAATTGACCTAGAGCCAAAACAAAAATCCACAAGGTACCGAGGTATATAAAATCATTGCAAAGCTGCAGTTTTCAATTTTCAATTTTACGGAACCTGCTGCTTTATTATTCTTCATCCGATTAATTGCTATTATGATCTCACCACCTTGGCTAGGTCATATACAATCTATACCGTTATCTCTTATTGGTTCTGAGGTATATTCTTCAACGCCACTATTTGATACCAAAAGCTTTGCCAAATGCCCCTTCTAGATCCTCAACACGCTGTCTGTATCTGTCACCAGGTTTCCATCTTCATCTCGGGTGATGAAAATACCTACCCCAGGAGACACCAAATGCCCCTTCTAGATCCTCAACACGCTGTCTGTATCCTCAACACGCTGTCTGTATCTGTCACCAGGTTTCCATCTTCATCTCGGGAGATGAAAATAGCTACCCCAGGAGACACCGCGGGTAGGTCAGTGCCCACAATTGAGATGAAAGAGGGACGAAGATAAGACTGGGCTTTGCCATGCCAAATCCAATCAGAACCGTTGCTTGGTATCTATCATACCATACGTCACCCCTTACACAAAATATTTCCTTGAAAAATAATAACATTTGTAATCGAAACACAAATTTACATATTTTTACTGCAAATATTTACAATTTATTCTATTGAAATTAAATTTATTTCAAATTCAGAGACTATAAAAGTTTTAATAACAACATTTTTCCATTTTCTTGAAAATGGTAAATAAACTTGTATAAATAGCAATAAAATGAAATAGAATATGAGTGCGCAGTAAATAACAACTTGGTTTATCTTTAATAGTAAACGCAAAAAATGAAACAAAAATTCAATATCCGGAGCGAAAACTTTAAAAACAACTCAAACGGAAAGAAATTCGTATATAAATATTTGTTGTTGCAATGAAAACAATTTATGAGCATTTTCTATTCACATTATTCTTTTAATGTTGAAAGATGTACGTATGCAAATCGCCTTCCTTGCCTGCTATGGAGAAGAAGAAGAATCGATGAATGGGTCGTTTTTTTTATAGACGTACGTCATTGATTGATAGATTTAATCTGGATCAATGCAGTTATTGATATGCACCCACTTGGAAGAGATTTCGTTTTTAAGGGGAAATATATGTTGACACTGCGTAAATATAGGAACAGTTTTTAAAATGTTGGAAATTTCACAATTTTGAAAAGGCTTAAAATAATATTGTAAGGCATACATTAATATAGTGTGTCCCCAAGGCAGGAATCATTGCAATCGATTACACTTTGCCACACGATTTTGGAGGGGTGGTCATTTTCTTTTATGAGTATTAAAACCTTTGGTGAGTATATTTGTTATCCAGAAGAATAAATTCGGAATTATAAGTACACCAACCTATGGTAAAATTTTCAATGGACAGATATAGAGTCGTTTGTTTGCAATGGAACAAAGTTAGGTAAATCGATTTAAAGCAAATCTCAATCGGGCACCCACTGATTATTTGGAGCCCAATTAACACGAAGTCGGTCGAATATCTATAGGCTATATCTGCATTTCTACAAAAAGCAATTAATCTGATAAAAATGAGGAGTTTGGTGCACCATTTACATCAAATCGGGCGAAAGTATATATGGAAGCTATATCCAAATCCGCACCGATTTTTACGATCAGGGTTATACTAACTTCAGTATGTTTTGTGCATATCGGCCATATTTTTGGGTCCTTGATGCGTCGTTTACGTAAAATCGGACGAAAATATGTATGGGAGCTATATCCAAATCTGAACCGATTTCAACGAAACTTTCCACCCGTCAGGTTATGCTAACTAACTTCAGTACATTGTGCAAAATTTTATGTTAATTATTAATTATTTTGGGTCTTTGGTGTACCATTTATTTAAAATCGGATGAAATTATATATGGGAGTTTTATCTAAACATGAACCGATTTCATCAAAACTTGACACATGTTAGACTATACCTACTTCAGTACGTTGAACAACATTTTGTTGCCAATCTGCCATATTTTGGAGCTTTGGTACTCCATTTACTGAAAATCGGACGAACTTATATATGTGAGCTATATTTAATTTTGAACCGATTTCAAGAAAGCTTGACACGCGTTATGTTATAGTAACTTCAGTAAGTTGTGCAAAATTTATGACAATCGGTCAAACTTTGCGTCTTTGGTGTGCCATTTACTGAAAATTGGACGAAAGTATATATGGGAGTTATATTTAAATCTGAACCGATTTTTCTCAATTACAATAGGGTTCGTCCTTGGGTCAAACAAACGAGCTGTACAAAATTTCATCCAATTCGCATCATAAATGCGACCTGTACTTTGTTTACAATTTAACATGGACAGACGGACATGCACGGATAGGCTCAGAAAGTGATTCTATGCATATTCTGAAAAGGAACCATGGGTCTATCTCGTTTTGGCCTATATTCATAGTTTTACCTATTTATAGCACAAAATACTAAATTTCAATACTATAAACACCCCCCAAAATACTGAAAATTAGGGGCTACCGTCATATGGGGGTACCAGAAAAAGTGGACCTATGTTTATAATTTTTTGTGGAGAAATTTAGTACCCAATAAGAACCTACTGAACCGAATTTCAGGGAGTTCGGTTGAAAAACGCGCTCAAGAACCTCAAAATACCGAAAATGGGGGTACCCTTATAAGGGAGCGATGCCGATATATCCCATTTTTGAACTTGACCTTCCTGCAGACAAAAGACAACCCACTGCAAATATTCAGCACCCCATCTTAATTCCTTCAGTAGATAGCTTGATTACAACAGACGGACGGACATGGCTAGATCGTCTTAGAATTTTACCCTGATCAAGAATATAGCTCAAATACTGCTTTATAGGGTTGGAAGTGAATATTTGATGAGTTGCAAATGCAATGAATATGGTAGAGGGTATAATAAGAAAATAAATTTACAAAAAGTTGTTGTTGTTTTTTGTCCTTATTGTTTTTTGTAATTAAAGAAAAGTCCTTCTTTCCGATGGCCGATGATTGCCGATATGTAGTCT